AATATCACATGAAATAACAAGTTCATCAAATTTCTATGAAAAAAAAAAAAATCTAAATACTGAAAGTAATTGATTTCACCCACCATATTTGTTCCAGCAGCCTGCCATTGTTATACTTTAATTTATTTTTCACATTTATTGAAAGGCAAGGTCTTACATTTGGAAAACATTTCTCCGAGCTCCACTGATTTCCTCCCTGTGACCTTGACGGTTTAGCTGAGGGGAGTATCAGTTCTGCACCAGCAGTCAAGGGCACGGATCATTCTCATGCATTTAAATGGGAAAAGAACACTGGGAACTTGGCAATCACCTCCTTTCTAAATATGTTTGACGCCGTTTATCCACAGATCTCTGCAGAAGTGACTGATCGGTCTGTCTGAGTTGCACTTCTAAAGGAATTTAGCTCCTGCGTCTTTTCTCAGATAGAAGACAAGAAGATGATCTCACCGTGTTAACAAATTTATTAACAGAACAGAAATTAAAGAGAAAAATGCAGGATTTACAGAAAAAAAATAGTCTGTATATACACATTTCTATCATCGTTTATCTTCATAATACACATTTGAAATGCTTTATCTCATCATGGGGGCAATAACAAACAGACGGAATGTACCATAACGGAGTTGTTGCTGACAACTGCCGCCATTTTAAGTTAAAAAAAAAAAAAAAAAAAAAAAAAAAAAAAGTCAGAACATCATGCGCATTTACACTAAAAGCTGAACTTTTAACATTTACATTTTTTTCCTGATCTGAATGCTCGTTTTCATTCTATAAGACAGACTTTTCAGCAGTAATAAGCAATTTGTGTTTGTATCTATCTGAAAAATATGAGATGTCTCACAGTCAAAACATCTAGTTCTGTTGTTTTTACTTAATTGAATTAGCGGCGTTCCAATCATGTTTATAGTTCTGTACAGACCTGGAGCATTTTAATCTTCTTAAGATTTCTACTAAAAAAATAAGCTTGAATGGGTGATTTCAGTACACAGTGGAGACCAAATGTCTGAGACCACAATTGTGAAAAATATTTGTTTTGAAAATATAGTTTTTTACAGAATATTGCTGGCTGCAGTACACATTATTTTTATTATTATATATTATTACAT